ACCCCCATTCTCCGTCATCCGACGTAACGTCTCCGTTCCCTACTCAGGGAACGAGGGTTACATCCGTAACCGAGACGTTCACATTATAATTGTGTAAAATTCTTCAAATTCATGGTGTAGGAGCCTAAATTCAGTTATTTGATAAATAGTTTAATTATGTGTTAAACAGTAATTTGTATGATTTATTTCATGTGGAGAAAATTTAAGTGAATATTTACAGATATTTACAGAGTTAATTGTTTAATTATCTAAAATGTGTGTGGATAATATAGAGTGTATTTTATATTACATTAGTGGATTCACCTATACGCGCTGGGAATACTCTCGCGCGAATTCATGATGACGTTAGTCAGGAGGAAGTATTCGACGGAAACAGTCGGGCATACATAGAGTGGAGCCTCACAGTTTTTTGACCTTTATCTTTCTTTCTTTTTAAGTAATCGTTTTTATTATTTTGTAATTTTCCTATGCTGATGTTTTTTGTTGATTACCAAGTAAACGAAGATACTCATCCCGAGTTGTTCTGTGGATTTATTGAAGTGGATGTGGAGATGAAGGGAGTGGATAAAGCGTCAAATTAAGGCTGCATTCAGTGGAATCTACATTTAGTCAAAAAACTAGCTCCTCAAGGATTATCGGACTTTGGAACTGCCTGAATCGAGACAAATAATGGAAGGAGGAAACTTTCATGTGGAAACTGTAAGTTGTAGCTTTCTTTGCTCTTCTGAGGATCGTTAAACGAAACGAAACTAAACTACTTGGCCCGCGCGCGCGCGAAAGAGAGAAATAATTATAGGACGCCTCCGGTTGAATGACGAAGTGGAACGCAGTTTGCGTGTGTTTAAGTTCACCCTACGGATTTGACATTGGCATTAAAAAGTGTGTAAACATTCGCTTGTCATGGATGAACAAGACAGTGAAAAACGGACAGTCAAATTGACTGAGAAAGCTGTGGAAGAACACAAGTCCAGACAAATTCATGCACGCAGGTATAAGCTATCACAGCTTACGAGCATGGTAAAGCAAATTGAGCAATTAATGGAAGATGATGCAAATGCTGACATCGTTAAAAATAAATTGCGCGTTGACTTTGGTGATTTGCAACAAGAATTTTACGACTTAAATTCTGCTTTGAGAAAATTTATGTCTGATGAAGAATTCTTGGATGATCAAAAGAATTGGTTTGATCTTAAAAATAAGTCAATGAATGATTTCTTCTGGAAATGTGAGGAATGGATGAAAGAGGTCATGAAACGCTCTGAGCAGGCTGAAGAGTGCAATAAACAAGTAACGCCCGCAGATAGTAGGTCTACTACATCATCAAAAACCACCAGGAAACGCTCAAGTAGAACCGGATCACAATGTGGAAGTGCATCATCATCTTCATCTTCAGTCAGAATAAAGGCAGAAATGGAGCGTGCTTCATTAAAGGCAAAGGCGGCAGCTTTAAGAGAGAAGTTAGCTATAGAAAAGGAAGAAGCTGATTGGCATGCAGAAAAAAGATGCAGGGAAGCTCAGCTGCAAGCAGAAGAAAAGCGACGAGAGGCGGAGTTTGATGCCGAGCAAAAAAGAATTGAAGCTGCGATAAAGGCTAAAAGGGAGATGCATGCAATGCAAACTGCTCTTGCAGAGTCAGATGCAAAAATGGAAGTTTTGAAAAAATATGAATGCAAACAAGCAGCTGAGAGCATTATAGAAGATGATGAACAGATAGCTGAAACAAAGGTGAACATCACTTACCAATCACCATCACAATACACACCGGTTACGCCCAAGCTTGGAAACAAGGTTCCTCTAGCAAGGCCACAAAGAACCTCGTCTGCATCGAACATGGACCTCAATGATGGACCTGTGCTTGATAGTCTATGCAAGGCTATTTCTCAGCAAGTTGAAGTCACTGAGTACCTCGTGAAGAATCACAAAGCCACATTACTCCCTGAGCTCACTATTGTAACATTCAAGGGTGACCCGCTTGAGTATAAATCCTTTATCAGATCTATTGAACATGGAATTGAGGGCCGCACTGGTGACTGTCGTGATCGTCTACAGTTTTTGTTGCAGTACACAAGTGGACAACCACATGAGTTGGTAAAAAGCTGCATTCACATGGAACCCTCAGCAGGTTATGCTAAAGCGAAAGAAATGCTGAAGGAGTTTTTTGGTGATGATTACAAGATAGCAGAAGCTTACATAAAGGAGGCGTTGGATTGGCAGACAATTAGGTCAGAAGATGGCGTTGCACTGCAGTCCTTTGCATTGTTTCTTACAGGCTGCTGCAACACAATGACTGATATAAGCTACATGGAAGACTTGGACAACACAGCTAACATAAAGGCACTGGCTAACAAGCTCCCATACAAACTCAAAGAAGCTTGGCGAAAGTCTGCATGCGATCTACAAGAAAAAACAAAGAAAAGGGTGAAGTTCAAGGATTTTGTCGAATTTGTCAACAAGCAAGTCAGATATATACTAAACCCACTCTATGGAAACATTCAAGAAACCACCACCAGACCAAAACAACCAGTACAACAGAAAACCAAACTACAATACCCAGAGACGTTCAGACCAAAGAAAGTATTCACGGCGGCCATTGTCTCCTCCCAAACTGAAAACAAATTCAAGATTGAAAGTGACAAACAATCAACGCCAAAAACACAGACTGTCTCTGTGGACGCAAACAACAAGCCGTGTGTTTATTGCAAGGGAGAGCAACACAGCCTCGCAGTCTGTAGAAAACTCAATCATGTTATTCAGACGCAAGAGCCCAAAAATGCTACGGAACAGTTGATGAACTACTACTCATCTTGGCCAAAACTAAAACGTGCGGTGGCATGGTTTCTGAAGTTTAAAAACTTGCTTAAGGAACTGAAATCAAAGAGAAAGGAACTAAACTCACAAGGAGAAAGTAGAATTAATGAGTTCAAGAAATTTTTCAAGGGAACACACCTAACCTGTGAAGATTTGACTGAAGCAGAAAGAGAAATTGTGAAATACGGTCAAAAACAAAGCTTCAAAGAAGACTTGACTATGCTAAAGGAACATCAAAGGGTAAAGAAAAGTAGTTCGCTCTATAAGCTGAACCCTGTACTTCAAAACGGAGTCATCAGAGTTGGTGGAAGGATGAGCCGCGCAGCGATGCCAGAAGATTCCAAACAGCAAGTCATCTTGTCAAAGGATTCACACATCACGATGCTTGTGCTAAAGCACATTCATGATGTTACAGCTCATTCCGGGAGAAATCATATGTTGGCACACCTACGTCAAAGATTCTGGGTCCCTGGAGCAAACTGTGCTATTAGAAAGTTCTTGTCCAGGTGCATCAGCTGTAAGAAATTACACGGAACTGCTGGTAAGCAACTCATGGCTGATCTACCAGAATGCAGGGTCCTGCCTGACAGTCCTCCGTTCACAAGGGTCGGCGTTGACTACTTTGGTCCATTTCTGGTGAAAAGAGGAAGAGCGCAAGTAAAGAGAAGTAAAGAGATATGGTGTCATCTTTACATGTCTTGCCATACGAGCTGTACATCTAGAAGTCGCATCTTCACTTGACACTGATGCATGCCTTAATGCAATAAGAAGATTTCTTGCAAGAAGAGGACAAGTCAAAGAGATGTACTCTGATAATGGAACCAATTTTAAGGCGGCTGACAGTGAGTTGAAAAGATCCATAAAAGAATGGAACACCAGCAAGATAGCAAAGAATTTGCAAGAGAAGGGAATCCAGTGGCACTTCAATCCGCCTGCAGGTTCTCATCATGGAGGATGCTGGGAGCGGCTAATTCGTTCGGTGAGGAAATTCTGAACATCACAGTGAAGGAACAACTTTTGGATGATGAAGGTCTCCATACCTTGCTGTGTGAAGCTGAGGCCATCATAAACAGCAGGCCTATCACCCAGGCATCTTCAGATCTTAATGATTTAGAGGCCTTAACGCCCAACCACCTGTTGTTACTCAAGGTCAAGCCTGAGTTACCGCCAGGAGTGTTTAGCAAGGATGATCAGTATGCTAACCGCAGATGGAGGCAAGTTCAGTACCTCGCGGATGTCTTCTGGAAACGCTGGTGTAAAGAATATCTTATGCAGCTCCAAGAACGTCAACGATGGTTCACACCTGGAAGAAACTTTAGTGTTGGTGACGTAGTGCTGATTGTGGATGATTCATCGCCCAGAAATGCATGGCCACTTGGAAGAATTGTGGAGATTTTTCCTGACAACAAAGGTTTCGTTCGTCAGGTGAAAGTTAAGACTAAGAGCAACGAGCTTTGTCGCCCGATAACAAAGCTATGTCTTCTTCAAGGATCTGAGGACGATGTATAAGCTGTTCCAAAGGAAAGACCCTAATCCGGATAGGGCGAAGACCAAGAATATTTCTTTAGATAGTTTGTTAGTTATAATTTAGGCTCCTTTAATTTAAGTTTTGATAATTGTTTCAAGGACATTGATAACAATTAGGGGCCGGTAATGTAGGAGCCTAAATTCAGTTATTTGATAAATAGTTTAATTATGTGTTAAACAGTAATTTGTATGATTTATTTCATGTGGAGAAAATTTAAGTGAATATTTACAGATATTTACAGAGTTAATTGTTTAATTATCTAAAATGTGTGTGGATAATATAGAGTGTATTTTATATTACATTAGTGGATTCACCTATACGCGCTGGGAATACTCTCGCGCGAATTCATGATGACGTTAGTCAGGAGGAAGTATTCGACGGAAACAGTCGGGCATACATAGAGTGGAGCCTCACAGTTTTTTGACCTTTATCTTTCTTTCTTTTTAAGTAATCGTTTTTATTATTTTGTAATTTTCCTATGCTGATGTTTTTTGTTGATTACCAAGTAAACGAAGATACTCATCCCGAGTTGTTCTGTGGATTTATTGAAGTGGATGTGGAGATGAAGGGAGTGGATAAAGCGTCAAATTAAGGCTGCATTCAGTGGAATCTACACATGGTTTGTTTGTAAGATAATCTTTCTTTCTCTTTTATGTCTTTCTAGACTATATGACTGTGGCATTACAGATGTTTCTTCTTTAACTCAGTCTTTGACTAACTTCAAAGCACTGCAGTTTTTAAAAGAGCTTGATCTGAGAGAGAATGAGATGGGAGACTCAGAGCAGCGGCTCAGAGACGAGCTACGAGACTCAAACTGTGTCCTGAGGTGAGGAAGCATCACTGAGATATTAAAAACATCTTCATTTACCTCTGATATGTGAACAGTCCTTTCAAACATTTGTGAAAGGAAATTATCATTAAGATTTGTTGCAACAAAGGGTTTGTGTGAAAACATAATGTGAAGATATTGAAATGTTCAACACAAAGTAGGAAAGAGAAGAAAAGCTCACTGTCACAGCCAGGGCCGCACTGGTATAAAGAGAATCAGATTATGCTGAAAACCTTCAAGAAACTTTAGAATGACACCTGCCTCCTCAGGCTGTATAAGCAAGTCACCACTGCACTGAACAACCAGGTCAGCAAAACCTAATCTCGAACACATAAGTCACAGTATACTGCTAACTACCAGCATGTCATGTGCACAGTCAGTTGGAGTGATAAAATAGTTACAAATAATCATATACTCAAAAACTACAATGCAGTCCCATAAAATAGAGATTTGTGTGTGTGTGTGTGTCCTTACTTTCTCAGCTTGGCTCCCTGGCTTAGCTTCCCCTGTGATGGACCCTGCCTCTGCTTACTGATCAGTGATGTGCAGCTACATATGCATGAGAAGAACTTCAGTTATAAACATAACTAAGAATAAAACATTTTCTAATTCAATCTGTGCTTCAGTCAGGTTATTATCTAGTATGTGGAATTATTGGCATTTTAACCTATATGTAAATATCTGATTGATTTATTTTCCTAATATGATTGCCTACCCAGCCCTGCACACTGCCCCTGTACCTGTCACTGTTTTTATACTGGTTCCATTCTTCTCCTCCTGCTCTTCTTTCTCTTGCTGCTCTCCTTCCTCTTCCTGCTCCTCCTCCTTCTCTCCCTCATCATCAATATGACTGCAGGGGTCATCCTCAACCTGTCCCTCTCCATCACTGATGCTAATATACATTTATATATACAGAGATTACTTGCTTAGAAGGATGTTGTCTGTGTGTGATGACACACTGCAAACTGCTCTTTATAATATATAATATATCTCTAAACATGTGAGGGATACATGGCTATAACATGATAACAGCACATTTTTATTACATGGCTAATAAATCAATAATTTGACACAATTATGTATGTACAGCTAATATATGTATGTACAATTATACATACAGCTAATATACATACAGAGATTACTTGCTTATAGAAGGATGTTGTCTGTGTGATGACACACTGCAAACTGCTGTTTATATATATATATATATATATATATATATATCTAAAATGTAAGGGACACATGGCTATAACATGGTAACAGCACATTTTTATTTCATGGCTATCTACCAAATAAATCAATAATTTGACACACAATATTGATTAAAAATGAGTTTACTGTTTTAAAAACTATTGTATTGCTTCCGCTAAAGAAAATAGTTCTGTCTATACGGTTAGAATCCTGCGTGTCCATGGCAACGCGCGGCCTGTTATCAAGCAATAACAGACCGCATTCGTGGCACGAAACTAATACAATCATTTTTATAGCAAATACAACCGCCTCGCTCTACATTATCCTTTTTATAATATATATGCCTATATTTAACTGCAAATATAAATAATTTCAGTGTATAAACGCATCACTAATTGTGCACCTGTCCTGCTGCTGGGTCCTCCTTCCTCATCTGTAACGTTACCTCCTGCCACAGCACCCTTTTCCCGGAAAAGGTCTGTTAATTTGGTGCATTTAGCTGCCTCTCGTGCCAACGTTTTTTTCTTTTTCATTCTTATTTTTTCGGCCCCACCCATTTCTTTCTCTTTTTTCCTTCCTTCTTTTCAGGATTTTTAAATGTCCGTCTCTGTTGCAACTTGCATTCATACAAATCTCCAAACTCGTTTTTTCGGTGCCTTAAGTTTGAGCCAATCGGATGTCAGGAAAAACGAGGATCAGTCCAAGTTAGGAGGGGCCGCTCGTATCCCCCCTCAAGATTGAAGGAATTGGTTTGGCCTAGTCTGAAACACACACACACACACACACACAGTACCGCTGCAGCTGAGCGGCCGCCACGCCGGTCGTTTAGCATAAAACGTATCATCCAAAAAAATATATATATCATTGACCACCGGCCGGTTCGGCCCGAAATGGACCGGCCGTTCGGGATTGTTCCCGGTATTCCCGATTGCCAATCCGCCCCTGGTCACAGCTTTATACATCAACAGCTGCTTTATAAACTGTGTCAGTAGAAGTGAATCATTTCAGTTTGAAACAGACTTGGTCAGATTGTAGGAAACGCTGCACTCCTGCTAAAATCAGTGCAGTTCCAGCTTCAGCTCACAGCGTCCAGCTCACATGAGCAATGTCTCTGTCTCTAGTGTGTTTTTACTGTGACAAGCAACACGTCACACTACTCTACACTTACTTTACTCTCAGTTATTTACTAAGAGCCGACAAACATGTTTAAACTAGAGGACAAACGGCTTTAACTAAAGGTTTGTGTTTAACTCAAAATAACATTAGTATTTGCTCGCTGTGGTTTATTCCATACGCCGCACACTCTTTAGTTTCTCCTTTACAGACACTCAATAGGAGTCACACCGACACACACAGACACACATATGAACATGATTCAGGCTTTACATCTATTATATTTAAAAACACAAATATATATGCAAGATCATGTAAAGAATTAATCTTATTACAATTCAATTTAACATTTTTACTCAAAAAATAGTAACTGAAATATAATAATTTGCATTTTGTTCCACTGAACTCTGATTGTTTTCTTTTCTGTTCCACTTTACAGAGTAGATACAGATCGACCGGCAAACGTCCGGATTTACATCAAGGTTTAAATCTGTGAAACGGAGATGAGAGGAGCAGAAACCATCAGGCGATCCACAGAAGAGTCTCACTGCTGTCTATGAGGAGAAATACATGTGTAAATGTGTTTCATACAGGTGGAAGAGACTCAGACCCCACTATTAAATAAAGCAGCGTGTGTGTTAGCATGCGTATTAGAAACATGTGATATTGAATGATTAATGTTGGTTTATTATTCAGCCAAATGATGGTTTAGTTGTAATTAAAGGTGGAACAGAGGAAGAAGCTCAGATGAGTGTCAGCAGAAATCTTCGCTATCAGGCCTGCAAATTAAAGGTGGAACAATGTTTTGTTAATGTGTTAATGTTTACTAATGAACTTATTAGTAGGACTCGTGACTTTCAAGATGGCGCCAGGATGTTTGCCGGCTTGCCACAGTCTGTCCTTGTCTCTTTTATTTTCAATGTTTCTTGTTTGTTTTATCACGCGCTCTGTTTGCTCCCCTCTGATATATGATCGCATGACGCTATTGAATATTCGATCGGCTGTGTCCGATTGTTTATTTCGTGATCTCAGAGATGATTGGCATCTGCACTCGTATTCCGTGCCAATCACATTAAGGAAAATGTGTTACCTGCCGGGATGTCTGTGCATGCGGAGGAAACGGCGAAAGAGGCGTGGGAAGCGTGCTGGAGTCCTTGCGAGATCAAAGAGGGTCGGGAAGTTTCCAGTCATCGGACCTGCCTCTTCGATGGCGGAGGCCGTGGTCGTGAGCCTGAGATGTTCACACATTGTGCCTGTCTTCCCGTCTTTGTAGTTGATGCCTCAGTCATCGCGGATGGTGTACGTAGCAGGCGCGGAGTTTGCGGGGGGGCAGGGGGAGCGTTGCCCCCCCGGTGGCTGAAACGGGTAATCGCATTTTCTTAAAAAAGCTGTAAAAAAACTACCAACCCCAATCTCTTTAAACAGTTATCGCGCACTCGGTCGATTGTGTCATCTAACTCTGAGAGAAGCTTTTCTGCGATAAGGAGCATGGGCGTCAGTTTGAAATGTGCTGGGGACAGAGACGTACTCGGAAGGGCATTTTCACAAGTGCTGGGTATGCATTCATTCTTTTTCTCTCTTTCGAGTAGGTCATGTTTTGAAAGACGATGTTCTGTAGCTCCTGATGTACATAAATAAAAATGAGCACAATGTCCGAGTATAGCACTTTTTTCATGTGTATAGTGAGTATATAAAGTATATACTCCCTTTTTCGTGTATACAGTGATGGTCCAGATCCAGGACTCGGGAGGTTCAAGGTTCTAATCCGCACTCGTAAAGTTTTTTTTCCCCCTCATCAAAACCAATAGCCTAATCCCGTGTCTTAAAATTTTTTCAATGATTCATGAAGTATAAATGCGAAATTTAACTAGTTTTTTAATCATTATCATTGCCAGAATATGTTTTGGAAAAAAGGAAAGAAAACTTTAAGGTTGAAGATAATATTTTAACAGTGCAAAAGTGGTCCACATTTCATGATCCTATAACGAAGATGCGACGCGAAGTGGCTGTTAATGCGAAGTTCTAGCTGTTTACAATGAAATAAAGGCAATAAAATATCAGTGTTTTACTGTTTTTTCTTGGGATAAAAATAAATATGTGTTTATTTAGCATGTTTTTTTTTTGTTGTTGTTGTTGTTTTTTTTGCCCCCCCTGGCTCGAATGTCAAACTCCGCCTGTAAGTCTGCGGATCGAGGAGCTGATCTTCGAAATCTTCGCTCTCTATCACGTGACGGGAGTCCGGTAACATTTTGTGATTCCTCTTTGATTGTGAAATCCTCTTCCGATCCCACTCCAGTGACAACGGCGTTGATTAACGCGAGATCTCTGGCAAATAAGACCTTTATTTTGAACTATCTTTTTCTTTCTCAAGAAATTGATTTTTTATTTGTTACTGAGACCTGTGAGATGACTTCTCTCTCTGAACTTTCTCCTCCTGGTTGCAGTTTTTTTAGTACCCCTAGGTCGGTTGGCCGGGGCGGGGGTCTTGCAGTTGTTTTTAAAGACAAGTTTAAGTGTAGACTTTCACCTTCTGAGTCTTATAGCACTTTTGAATCTCAGCTAATTACGCTGAATTCTTTTAAATCTGTGTTATGTGTACTGATTTACAGACCCCCTAACTTTCATGGGGGTTTTATACAGGAGTTCTCTGAACTTTTATCTGGGATTGTGCCTTCTTTTGACAATATTTTAATTTTGGGGGACTTTAATATACATGTGTGCTGCCCTTCAAAGCCCCTGGTCAAATAATTTTTAAATTTATTAGAGTCGTTTGATTTTTTGCAACATGTTTTGGGTCCAACTCATGAACGTGGTCATACCCTTGACCTTGTATTATCAAAGGGATTCTTTGTTGATAGTGTGAAAATTGTCGATACTGTTTTTTTCTGACCAAAAGACTGTTATTGTAAATACTAGCTTTCCTTGTGGTGCGCCATGTAATATTGCTTCTGCCTCAGTTTCATCTCGCATACTCAATCCATGCACAGCTAGTAGTTTTTCAGCTGCTTTTAATGTCTCTTCTTTTTTTTTTCATTGATTGAGTCACACTCTCCCTGCATAGGTGTAGAAGAGTTGGTTGATCAGTTTAACTCTTCTTGTTTAGAGATTTTAGATGTTGTGGCTCCGGTCAAAGTCGGGGGAAAAAAGTCAAATCTCAGCCCTGGTTGAATAGTACTACCCGTGCTCTTAGGCAGGAGTGTAGGAGGGCTGAACGCAAATGGGTTAAAGATAAATTACAAGTTTCTTATGAAATTTTGAAGAACCGCTTGAATGAGTATCAAAGAGCTGTTAAATTGGCTAGATCAAATTATTTTTCTGACATCATCTCCAGAAACGGTAATAATTCTAGAGTACTTTTTTCAACTGTAAATGCTGTTCTTCATCCTACTGCTACTCCTTCATTTACTCCTTCTGCTAAGTTATGTGAAGAGTTCTTAAACTTTTTTATTGGTAAGGTTGAAGGAATTAGATCTCAGATTTCATCTGTTGCCAATGATTTTATCGCTCATGTTGACCCTACGAACCAATTTACTAGTTTTATACCTGTTTCTTTACAGCAGATAAATGATATAACTGCTCATATGAAGCCCACCAGGTCTCTTGGTGACGTGCTCCCTTCTTTGGCCCGACCATTCTTTCTATTATGAATACTAGTTTGTCATCTGGTGTTGTTCCGGTTAGTTTTAAGCATGCGGTTATTCAGCCCCTTTTAAAAAGAAATGGCCTAGACTCCTTTGACATGAGTAGTTTTCGTCCAATTTCCAAATTACCTTTTATTTCAAAGATACTGGAAAAAATTGTGCATGCACAGCTAAATGACTATTTAATGAGGAATAATATTGCCGATAGATTCCAGTCAGGTTTTAGAGCTGGTCATAGTACAGAATCTGCTCTTTTGAGGGTCTCTAATGATATTCTACGAGGTGTTGATTCTGGAAACCGTGTTGTTTTGCTTTTGTTAGATCTTACAGCGGCTTTCGATACAGAGGATCATAACATTCTCATTAATCGTCTTAGGAATCAGGTTGGTATTCAGGGCTTAGCCCTGAAATGGTTCTCTTCATATTTGAAGGATAGGACCTTTTCAGTCAGTTTAGGGGAATATTTTTCTTCTGTTGCCCCTCTTGTGTGTGGGGTTCCACAGGGATCTATACTGGGACCTATTTTATTTTCCCTTTATATGCTCCCTCTAGGCTCGATTTTTGAGAAATTTGGGATTCAGTATCATCTGTATGCGGATGATTCTCAAATTTATTTACCATTGAAACATGGGCATAAATGTGCCATTCAGTCTTTCCATGCATGTTTGGCCGAAGTTAAGTGTTGGCTTGCGAATAACTTTCTCCAATTAAATGAGGATAAGACCGAGATGATTTTATTTGGAAATAAGGGGTGTGTGGATGATGATTGCCTGGGGTTGTTTCCTGGGAAAAAGCTGTCTAGTGTGAGGAACCTTGGTGTCATTTTTGACTCTGAGCTTAAATTTGACCGGCAAATCAATGCTGTCGTTAAGAATAGTTTTTTCCATCTTAGATCAATTGCTAAATTGAAATCTATCCTTACTTTTGATGATATGGAGAAGGTTGTTCATGCTTTTGTGTCATCCCGTTTGGATTACTGTAATGTTTTGTATTTGGGTGTGAGTCAGGCCTCTCTCTCCCATCTGCAACTCGTTCAGAACTCAGCTGCCAGACTTTTAACAGGTACTAAGAAGAGAGAGCACATTACTCCGGTTTTAATTAAATTACACTGGTTACCCGCATAAGATACAGAGTTCAATACAAAGCATTGTTGTATGTTTTTAAGTCTCTGAATGGCCAATCACCTGAATATGTTACTGACTTAATTAGCCGCTGTCAAAACAGTAGATCTCTGCGCTCAAATGATCAATTGCTTCTCATGGTTCCGCGGTCCCGTTTGAAAGGTAAAGGTGATCGGGCCTTCTCTGTTGCGGCTCCTAGGCTCTGGAATGACCTTCCCCTGTCTGTGAAATCTTGTCCTTCTTTGGGTGTTTTTCAGAGTGCGCTTAAAACTTACTTGTTTTCTTTAGCATTTGATAATCCTTTGTAAGGTTTTTATGTCATGTGTTTGTATTGTTTTTTATTTCTTTATTTTTCTTTCTATTTTATTCATTTTGTACAGCACTTTGGTTCCACTTGTGGTCTTGAAAGTGCTCTATAAATAAAGTTGAGTTGAGTTGCAAATATAAAAATGTTTAAACTAAACTCATCCAGAATTATTCAAATATTTCTAATCATGAACCTGATTGTCAAGTAAAGTTTACATGAAACTTTTAAATATTTGCATAATCTCTAACATTTTATAAACAGAATATGTTTGTTATTGTTTTATTGTATTTGAAGTTGTGTGTGTGTGTGTGTTGCTGATGCACAGATGTACAGTATATTGTCTTTGTTCTGTGGATGAAGTCTCTTCTCCTCTACAGACCGACTAAACATTTTCCCCAGTTAACAGCATTTGTGTGTGTTTCACTCGCTCCTCAGATAGCAGACGGATGTGGGCCACTTCAGGCGATGGGCCACTTCAGGCCTTCTTATGGCTCCGACAAAATATATGTGAGCCTGAAGTGGCTCACATGTAAAATGGCAAAAATGGCCCAAATATTTCAAATCACACCTTGTGCTTCTCTTCCTGTTGCTGCTTTAGAGGGGAAGATCTGTTCAGGTGACGGTGCGAATACCTATGTTGGCTATATCTGCTCATAGGGGTGAACTCCATCCTCAAC